AGACATTTAAGCACATTTGCAGTCGGCTGCACCTTTAAATATCTCGAGATTAACACGACAAAGAAACTGGATTATGGAAAAAAATGGAAAAACTATTGATTATATGGATTGAGGGACAATAACAAACGGAGAATTCCAATGAGTCAAATGACTATCCAGGAAAAAGCTTTAACTATTTCGAAAATTTGAAGAATGGAGATACCGATAAAACTGCTGAAGATATCTCATTTCAAGCAAGCCGAGGATGGTTTGAAAAATTTAAAAATAGATTTATTTGCACAATATGAAAATAAAAGGCGAAGAAGAAGAAATTATTGAAAGAGGTGGTTATAAACCTGAACAAGTGTTTAATGTAGATGAAACAGGACTTTATTGGAAGCGAATGCCTGATCGTACGTACGTTTCAAAAACCGAAAAATGTGCGCCTGGTTATAAAGTGTCTAAAGAACGATTAACTTTGCTACTTGGTGCAAATGCCGCTGGTGATTTTAAGCTAAAACCACTTTTAATCTATTTGTCCGAAAATCCAAGGCCTTTTAAAGGACTAAATAAAAATCAATGACCCGTTATATGGAGATCCAATAAGAAAACTTGGATGACTAAAGCTACTTTTGAGGATTGGTTCAAAAATCACTTTTGTACAGAAGTAAAAAAATATTTCCGAGACAATAACTTAAGCAACAAGGCTTTGCTAATTTTGGATAATGCGCCAGGGCATCCTACTAATTTATCCGAACTATCGCAAGATATCAGGATTGAGTATCTTAGGAAAAATACAACCGCTTTGATCCAACCAATGGATCAGGGTGCAATAGCCACTTTTAAGGCATATTACCTACGCCGAACTTTCCGACAACTTATAAAGGAAACCAATGGTAAATCTTCAATTCAAGCATTTTGGAAAAACTGTAACATCAAGGATGCTGTTGATATCATCAGTAAATCATGGAAAGAATTAAAATTAACAACAATGAACAATGTTTCGAAAAAATATGGCCAGAGTGTGTAAAAAATACCGATGAAGAAATTAATATCCTTCCCGAAATTAGGCAAAACATTTTGGATCTAGCACATGACCTCGGCTTTGAAGGTGTGAATGAAGGTAATGTGCTTGACATACTTGAAGCTAATAGGAAACCCCTTTCATATGACGCACTCATCCAATTACAAGCAGAACCAGCAGTTGATAAAGAGACAGAGCCTGTTGTATCGAAATAGCTAACATCAAACAATTTGTCGATAGCTTTTTCTTATTTCGAACAAGGTATAAACATCTCCTTGAAAACGACCCTGACGACGAACGTAGCACTAAATTAACTCTGTCATAAGCTGCTATAAATCACTGAAAAAACGAAATAGACAAGAAGGCAAGACAAACAACGTTGGACAATTTTTTTAAGCCAGGCCCATCCTTACCAGCGAAAAATGATGACGACAGAGATTTGCACGGTAACATTTCTTCATCGTCATCAATTAAAGCCCTTTTTAAAGAAAATTTGTTTGTATATACGCACATGTTTTATGTAACGTGAAGTTGTTTCACTTTTGTTTATAGATTATTGTTAGTTTATGGAATCTATTACATGTTATGTTATGTACCAATGTATGTGCTATTTTGCATGTATTTTTGATTTAAATAAAATAAAAAGATAAAATGCATTTTTAGCGATAAACCATATCACAAAATTTAACAAATTTTTAACCGATCCTATTGATTTTCTATGAATTTGTATTAGAATAATTGATTCGTTATAACGGCTTTTCGCTTTACGGCCAAGTTTCGTGGAACGTATCTAGGCCGTAAAGCGAGGTATTGGTGTACTCTTCAAAGACGAGTTACAAACAAAAATAAAATCGTGACCGAAAATGACAAATATCTTGGTCGGTTTAGGCAAATATTCTCAGTTGAACAGGAACACGAAATTTTAGATCATATTCTTGAAATGGAAAAGCGATTTTTTGGAATCACTTATAAAGAACTTCGTTGTCTGGCATTTGACTTTGCCCAAGCCAATAATATTGCTAACAATTTTAATAAAGATACTCGAATGGCCTCTAAAAGTGGGTTTATGGGTTTTTGAGTTGACATAGAATATTTCTCTGAGAAAACCAGAAGCAACCTCATACGCTAGAGCTACAGGATTCAACAAGAATGCAGTCAAAGTTTTTTGAACAACCTGGAAAGTATTTATAATAAACATCACCTCACTCCAGGATAGAAGTTCTTACTCAGATGGGTAAAAAGCAAAGGTAAAAAGGGCTAAAAAAAAGATAGCGACAAATGGATTCCGAGTAACCGAAATTTGGCTTTTTAACGAAGACGAATTCGCTCCTTCTAAAACGACGGAACAATCAGTGGACAATGAAACTACATCACAGGTCAATAAAATTACCCGTAATGATGGCTCATACCGAAGGCGTAAATCAAGATGAAATGTATGATAATCAGATTCCTTCAACCTCAAACAGTCTGTTTTAAGGTCACCTAAAGATGGCGATTCCGAAGATAACAGACCGATACAGAGAAGCAAATCATTCCTATCAAATTTCCGACATCCAAGGTAAAAGTGACCGATATTAGTTCGCTACCAAAGGCACAGACAAAGAAAGGTAAGACTTCTTCTAGACATTCTCTGAAATCCACGATACTCACAGAATCGCCGTATAAAAATGAATTAGAGGCGTTGCAATCAACAATCCCTAATAACAAGGTTAACTCTGTGAAACGAACTGTAGTTATGGACCACAGCGCTCGAAATGCAAATATTAGCAATATCACAGTCGTCACTTTAACTAAAGATGATTCAAACTGCATTGTATGTGGAAAGAAGTACGCAGAGAGTAGTGAAGACTGGGTAAAACTGCAAAATATGTTCAAATTGGGCTCATGAGTCTTGTGGAGTAATGGATGATCTCTATTTTATTTGTGGAAGTTGTATAGAGTAATGTCCCTTTTGAGAAACCCAACGGACCATCTTAGGATTCCGGTTTCTCATGATGGGACATTCACACTTTTTTTTTTGATAACAAGAAACGAAGCATATTTTTTATTTTTTATTTAGGTTTTATCTAAAATGTGTTAATAATTAGAATAAAGTTTCATTTTATTACCTCAACTTTTTTTTAATATCTATAGATTTTCAAGTATTTGTTATAAAAAAAAACTGTCCCAACTTGGGTGACTCTCCCTTATTTTGTAAATTCTCTTTGATGTTCACTATTGTTTTCTCTTTTATATGTTGTTCATTCAGTCTTCTCACGTCAATTTGTTTCTGTATGTGTTTTTTAATGATCTTTAGTTTTATTCTTAATGTGACTACTACAGGATTGTGATCCGAGCCTATATCTGCTCCTGGGTAGGTTTTAGCTGAGAGTATAGAGTTGCGGAATCTTTGACTAACAAGGACAAAGTCAATTTGGTTTCTGACTACTCTACCTTTGGTGTTCACTCGGAGATTTCCATGTGTACAGTCGTCTGTTAGGTAACTTGAAAAGAGTGTTAGCAACTACTAATTCCTCCGTTTGACAAAATTGTACCATACGGTCTCCTCGTTCGTTTCGTTCTCCTAATCCATAGTCACCCACATAACGTCCACACATCCATGTCCAATTTTGGCATTAAAATCGCCCATTACTACTGTAGTATGATGTTTCTTCATTGATTTTAGAATTTGTTCCAGATCGTAATAGAAACTTTCAATTTTATCATCATCTTTATCAGCCGTAGGAGCATATACTTGTATAATATTTATAATTTATTTATTTGACTGAATTTGTAGTGTCATTATTCTATCAGAGAAGGGAGTAAAGCTTGTTACACAGTTACTGATTTTCTTTGATACCCAGACAGCGACACCATAACGATAAATTGAACTGATGGTGCCTGAATAATAAAGTGTTCCACTGTTATTCGTGCATTTTCTGATCCTGGCCACTGTACATCACTTATACCTAGGACATCAATTTTAAGGTTTTCCATTTCAAGGGCTACATTATTTAATTTACCTACTGCAAAGAGGCTTCTTACATTCCACGTCGATATTCTTAATATCTTAAGGTGATTGATATTACTTACACAGGGATTTCGCTGGTTCACGACCTGAGAGGCCCTATGGTCTGTCTGTGGTTTTCCTCTCCTGCCGGATCTTGGGTTCCGAGGTCCATGATCAGTAACATGAGTGATTGATGTGACATTTGTCAATCATGATTATACTAGGGAATCTTAAAGATCATTAATACAGTGGTTTCCCGTTGCCTTCTGTATCCTTACGCCGTTGACATTCTTGATTCATCCGCCTTCGAGACAGGTTTCTCTATCTCAGGACAAAAGAGTGCCCTGCCACTTACCAACTCATCCGCCCGAAGCCGTTGGTAGGTAAGTGGGGGATTGCTTATACCGGCAATCGCCCGGTGGAATTGTCGCCATATCTGCTACCCTCACCTTTTTTGCACCACTTGACCCTAATGGAACGGCTGTATAAGTAAATTTTAAACCACATTTAAATGTAAAACTACTGTTTTTGTCTAGATACAAATATTAGATACAAATTTATCCAAACAACTAAAATTAGGTCATTGGGGGTGATTTTTTATTTTGCATTTATAAATTGATACTGCAAAAGATTATTATTTGAAAGCTTGTAAGTTGTTTTGAGTCAATTGAAGCTTATAGAAATTAGAAATAATACATGAACATAGAGAGTTTTTGGTAGAAAATTAGATATTATAGATGATGCAGAATGTAATGGAAAAGTTAATTAATTCTAAAAACATATAGACAAGCCTTATTACCGTCCCAGCATACAGGAAATAATAATTTTTCAAAACATTACATTAGGGTAGTAATTAATTTATATCCAGTTTGGTGGTAGAATTTGACCAACCAGGTAGCTCGATTTCCGACTTTAGTACAATATCAACCCCATTCGTCAGACATAAAAATTCAAGTTCTATGCCAAATTCTGTGTCCTGAAATATATAGCTTTCCTTGTCTAAGTTTTGGGGTCAATCGATTTTGATTATAGGTTATCTACTTGTAAAAATGTCAAAATAAAATAAATTTTGTTGTTAAAATACAACCTTAAAAAACAATGAATCCTAGAACAAAATGTAAAATTAACTCGGATGGTAGTGTTTGTTTATCAGATATTTTAAATTCATTTAACTCATCAATCAAAGAAGAACATGCATGGGCACTGTGTTATCAAATTGCCAAATACTTTGAAGAATGTCTGCAGGCATATAAACAAAACTCTTATGTTATTACTGAGGTACAACACGTTTACTTGAAATCTGACGGGACTGTGCACGAAAACACGGGAGTTATAAACGATAATTCTCGAAGAACGCCCCAAAATGAATTGGATATTATCAAAGGTATAGGGGTGGTGATATATGCAGCATTAGATTCTGAAATTCAGAGCGGGGAGGAAAAGGTGATTAGTTATGACTTAGAACAACTCATTAGTGATTTAATTGCAGACGACCTTAACAATGTAGATCATAATCATCATGAAACTGATGATGAAGGCATTGAAAGAGATTCTGATGAAGATCCCAGCACATCAAAGCCTACAGCTCACATAACTCTGAAAGAGGTAATAAAAAGGTGTGAAAATCATCTAGGATATTTAAGTAAAACTCAGGCTGAAGCACATTATAAGGCTGTAGTTCGAGCTTTAGTTGCTGAAGCAATTGAGCTATCCACATTTTTAGAAAAAGTTGCACAAGGCAGTATTAGCTTGCCATCTAGTAGTACCAGTGATCAATTAGAATTCTCAGATTGGGCAAAGTTTTGGGTGCAAGTTATGAATGAGCTGCGCACTGGTGTTAAACTTAAGAAAGTTAATTTCACAAAAGCACCTATAGAATATGAATTGACTCCCTATGAAGTGTTAATGAAAGATATAAGAAATTGTAAATATAACTTAAGAAAAATTATGGTGAACGGAGATGTACCTTGTAGAATAACCAAAGATGCTCATGCAATTATTTTGGAGTTCATTAGATCTAGGCCTCCCTTGAAAAAAGCCTCTGATAGGAAAATTGTACATTCACCTAGACCTCTTACACCTCGTGAACAGTTATTGAATTCTATTAGAAAGGGAAGAAAACTGAGACCAGTGCCAACACCAAGGTAAGCTTATTATCTTATTATTTTTCTCTAATTTTTTAGAACATGTTTTGGTAGTAGATCATTTCCAAACCTAATAAAATTTGAATATTTTGGAATTAAGAAGCAGTTATTACAAATTGTAGTTAAGGTTTGTTTATACAATCAACTATATAAAGATTGAAGCTGTTTCTCCAATATTTATTTACTTAAAAGGTCTTGTAATTCACAAAAACCATTTTTATTTTATTTATTGTCATGTACATGTTCTCTTCTACTTCAATCATCTCTATTTTTTGCTATTTTTTTCCAATCAAGAATTCCAATACTTCTTAGTTCTTCTATAACACTATCATACCACCTTTTCCTTGGACAGATGTTCTTCCTTTTCCCAATCATCTGCTCAAGACTTTTCCCTATTTTTGGCATTCTATGCCTATATATTACTTTTATTTGTCCTAAAATCAAAGTCTTTGTGCTTTTATGAAATGGTACTACTAAGGCATTGGACCCCTATACAACACTTACTGCTTAGCACTGAGCCAAACCATATATTTGTGTGGAAGTTAAATGACTCAAAGTCTCATAAACACAACATTATATAGGGCTGACCAAAAGTCGCTACATAAACCACTCTCCCTTTTTATTATATTTACTAATGAACTACATGAATATTTCTGTTTTAACTCCTTATTTTTTGATAAAATTTACACCCTTGTAAGGTGAACGGACTTATTTAAGTCTTATGAAAACAGTTTTTACTTCATTATACCCAAAGAAGTCTATAATTAATTATGGTTTTTTAGTAACTAGTGGATTTTAGTGGATGTGCTTCAAAATCATCAGCCTTAATAAACTGAATTGAGGGAAACATGTTCATGTAGCACTTATATGTTTTTTTAAATAGGAGTTGAGAAAACTCTGTCCCAGATATTATAGCTTGTAATGTAGTTTGGAATTGGAATTGTCTAATTCATGTTGAAAGTGCTGAAATTCCTTATTTCACATTTAAAAAGAATTCATCATATAAAAGAATGTTTTAGAACTCATGTAGAGTGGCCCCTTAGACATACCATGCCAATAAATTGTTTAGAAAATATGAAGTTTTAACTGTCAAGCTTATATAGGATTAGAACTTGAATAAATGAGTGTGCAATAAATAGATTTTACAACATTGCAATCATTGTTTTACTGCTATAGAATACTGATTATTTTTAGGTAACTGCTGCTGCCTTCTTTAGTGCATTTAATGTTAATTTCTTAAAGATATTACATATTACTGTTCTGAAGCTATTTTCACCTCAGATCACCCCATTACAGCATTATAATAACATTATATTTTTTAATCTAATTAATCTTATAACTACACTCTAAAATACAATACTTAGAAATAATTCTAGAGTTTACTATAAAACATGGTTTTAAATTGATTTAAACTTAAATTAAAAAGGATTTACATCACAGTGACTATTTTAAAATCTTAAGGCCCTATCAAATGGATTATTGCAGGCATAATTGGTAGCATGAAAATTTATATGAAAAAGTTCCAAAGATCTTAGTCTATGCTGTGGAATATTGAAGCTTATTTTACTTTAAAGTTCAGGACATTGAATTAAATTATTTAATAATTTATAAATAAATACAGAATCAAACTGAATTTGTCTGTTATAAAGTGTTGTTAGATTTAATCTATCTAAAATTACTATTTTGTTTTTATTTGCAATTGGACTCCCCATTTTGTAACCGCAATACCTAAGAAACTTATTCTGAACTTTCTTAATGTAATTGATATACTGGTCATACATAGGAGACCAGAATTGTGTGCCATATTCTAGTTGAGAGTGCACAAGAGAATAATACACAACTTTCGTTACATCAATTGGGAACTTACTACAGTTTCCTAATGTAAATCCAAGAAATTTAAGATCTTTCAATGTAATCTGTGAAATATGGTCATTGAAATGAATGCTTTCATTAAAATTGATGCCCAGATCTCTAACTTGATTTTTATATCTTAAGTCATAAGATAGTTTGAGTCATATTGTTTATTCCCCCTAAAAAATCTGATATAAAAACATTTATCGATATTTAATGTAAAATTATTCTGTGTACTCCAGTCCCATAACCTGTCAATATCCTTTTGCAATATATGTATGTCAGCTATAGATTTTATACATCTATATAACAATTAAGTCATCTGTAAAAAGTAAAACTAATGATTCAAGATTATCAGACATATCGTTTATAAAGAGATTAAATAGTAATGGTGAACAGTGGCCTCCTTGGGGGACACCTTATAAAACCTCAAATAATTCAGATAGGAAATTAAATAGTTTTACCCTTTGTTTTCGATCATTTAAAAAAGTTTATATCCATTCTATTGCCACCTTAGTAAATCCTAAATTATGGAGTTTTGCAAGCAAAATATCGAAATTACCTCTGTCGAAGGCCTTGGAGAAGTCAGTGTAGATTGAGTCTACTTTTTCCTTTCTTCTCCAATGCCTACAACGGATCCATTCATATACTGCCAAGTAAGTAATAGTGGATTTTCAAGCTGCAAACCCTTCTTGAACTACAGATAATAATTCTTTACATTGCTAATATAGTTGATTTTATACTATTTTATCTAATGATTTTGGTATTGCTGATTGCTTAGAGATACAATGATAATTTTTTAAATTATTTTTGTCACCACCTTTAATAATAGGTGATACATAGCTTTCTTTCCATCTAGTCGGGAAGGAACATGTAAGCAAAGATAAATTAAACAGTAGGTATATTCGTTTGGAAATTGTAAATGAACAATGTTTCAAAAAATTATTTGGAATATTGTCTGGTCCCTGTATAAAGAAATATTTGCTTTTGAACATGTCTGTTTTGGGCAATCGGCATGTGGATGAGTCATATACACTAGCAAAATGTTCGGCAAACAAGTTAGCTATGTTTTGAGCATTATCTGCTATTTGGTTATCAAGGTACATGTAATTTGGAACATTGTTTGATGTTTTTTATCATTAATGTATCTCCAGAAATGTGCTGGATGATCTGTCAGGTTGTTACCTACAGTTTTTATATAATTAGAGTGACATTTTTGAGTTGCTATTTTACATTTAGATCTTAAGTTAGAAAATATCAAGTAATCTGTTTCAGACTTTGTAAACATTTTTTGTGACTAGTTTTCTTGGCAGCAATTAAATTTTGTAAATATGAAGAAAACCATTTTAGAAATTCAGAACTGTTAATGAGTTTTCTTGGAATAAACTGATAACGACAACATCTAGAGTTTCATAAAACTTTTGTACAGCGGGCTCTATATCTAATTCATAAAATAAATTGTCCCAATTAATCTCTTCTTCTTCTTCAGCCTGTGTTCGTCCACTGCTGGACATATGCCTCTTCCATTTGCTTCCATCGATTTTCTACTTTTGGCAATTCTCATCCACTGCTTGCCCGCGACTTGTTTGATACCATCTGTCCACCTCTTCTGTGGTCTGCCTACTCCTCGCCTGTTCTCTCTTGGTCTCCAGTTTGTTAATCTTTGTGTCCATTTTTCGGAATTATCTCGGACAACGTGTCCGACCCATTGCCATTTGAGCCTTGCAATACATTCTGAGACATCAGTAATTTTTGTTCTTTCACGAATGACGTTATTTCGAATCCTGTCTCTCAAACTAATCCCTAGCATGGCCCTTTCCATTGCTCTTTGGGTTGTACTGAGCTGCTCTAAGGTTTTCTTTGTGAAGGTCATGGTCTCCAGTCCATATGTAGTTACAGGCAAGATACATTTGTCATAAACTCTACGTTTTAGACACATTGGTATATCTTTATTCTTCAAAATAAAGCTTAATTTGCAGAAAGCTCCCCAAGACAGTTGTATGCGTCTTTTTATTTCAGCTATTTGATTTTCTTTGCCGATTTTAATGGTATGTCCAAGATATATATAGTGGTCTACATTTTCAAGACTGACGTTGTCAATAACAAGATTAGTTTGTAAATTACTCATTATTTTTGTTTTCTGAAGGTTCATTTTGAGACCTATTTTATTTGACTGCTGGTTTAATTCCTTCAACATTTGCTCCAGTTCCTTGATATCTGTACTAAATAATACTATGTCATCCGCAAACCTCAAATGACACAAATGTACACCATCAATGTTTAGACCTTTTTCCTCCCAGTCAAGCTGTTTGAATACATTTTCCAATGCTAAGGTAAAAAGCTTTGGTGAAATAGTATAACCTTGTCTAATACCTTTATCAAGGCGCATTTTTTCAGTTTTTTCATCTTCATTGATTTTGATGTGGAATGTGGCCTGTTCATAAATGTTTTTAATGAGGGTAGTGTAACGTGAGTCTATTCGAGCATCCTTCAGGGCTGACAAAAAGGACCAAGTCTCAATACTATCGAAAGCCTTGTAAAAGTCGATAAATGCCATATGTAAAGGTACATTATATTCTGTGGTTTTTCTACTAGTGTTCTGATGGTTTGTAAGTGATCATTAGTACCAACCCTTTTCTAAATCCGCCTGTTCAACCGGTTGATATAAATCAAGTTTTTGTGTTATGCGGTTGGTTATTATTCTTGTTAACAATTTGTATAAGTGTGACAACAAACTTATAGGTCTGTAGTTTTCAATATTAGTAGTGTCTCCTTTCTTGTGTAAAAGTATTATTTCGGCGTTTTCCATAGGCTGGGTATTCTTTTTTCTTTTAGACACTTATTCAGTAAGACTTCCACAACTTCTACAACGATGTTGCCGCCCATTTTTAACATTTCAGACATTATACGATCCTCGCCAGGAGCTTTTTTGTTTTTCATTTGCTGTAAGGCATGTCTAATTTCCGAAGAGGTTATTTTAGGGAGGGTTTCCGAGCCGACGTTTAGAATTGTTCTGTGGTCTGTTTCGGGGTTCTGTATAGTAGATGTATAAAGATTTTTATAGAACGTTTGTATTTCCTTGATTATTTGAGTTTTTTTCGGTCACCGTATTTCCCTGTTGATTTTTGATTTTAGTTATCTTTGATTTT